TTTCTCTCTTTCTCTCTTTCTCTCTTTCTCTCTTTCTCTCTTTCTCTGTCTCCTTCTCCTTCTCGTTCTCCTTCTCCTTCTCCTTCTCCTTCTCTTTCTCTTTCTCTTTCTCTTTCTCTCTCTCTCTCTCTCTCTCTGTATTGTTTTCCTCTGGCAACTGTCCTTAGGCTCATGGCCTCGATCCAAGGTGCATTGTATAGCACCAAGTCATTGTACATGAACACTACGATGGAGTAAACACGCAATTGTACAGAAGGTTGTATCTTGACACCGTCCCTTGGGTTGATTCATTGTTGAATCACACCATCCATACAAACATTGTTGAAACAGTAAAGGAACATTATTGTACATAAACAGTTCAAGCATTGTAGACAAGTCTGTACATCTTTTCTGCCATTAATTTCCAGCGTTGTTGCCCTTCTCATCGTTGTGCTCGTATGGCATTGTCATAGCTGGAGATCTGCAGATTGTCGGACCTTTGTTCTAGCCCTGCGTGTCCTCCATACTGTCTTCTGGAGATTGTCTGGGACGCTTTGTCCCTTTCTCCTCTTCTTCATCTCCTGACTTCTCCATTTTGCTCTCATTGTATAGGACTGCTCGGTCCTCCCACAAGGAGATTGTCGAGTTTGTGGGAAGTCGACGCTGATTGTGGTAGTCTGGAATCGTCATCTCCATGGCTATTGTTGCCCTTGAAATTGTTCTCGAGAAAGTCGATCCCGATTGTCAGCGCTCGTGAGCTGGGAGGCGGCTGCGGTCAAAATGATTGTCGACAAATTGTCAACTAAACATGCATTGTCATCCAAATTCAAAAAAGCAAAACTTCAAACACATTGTTCATCAAATCGTTCTCCGAAACGACGGAAAGAAAGCCGGGCTTATTGTGAGACTCAAGATCTTGTAGTACATATTGTCTATGACATAGTATGCACATAGTAGCTAAAGTAGTGTGCCATGGCTTGATGCCCCGTGTGTGTGTATTGTACACGCATAGATGCTGCCATGGTTTTGAAACTGTTTGTACGGCCGTTGTTCAGTTGTGGGCATTGAATGCCCGCCATGTAGAGGTGTTTGTTAAGCACCTCTGCCGGGACATACTTTGTCAGTATGTCTGCTGGGTTGTCATGTGTGCTGATCTTGTGTATTGACAGTATCCCGCTTTGTACCAGTTGTTGTATGAAGAGGTACTTTAAGTCTACGTGCTTTGCTTTCTTTGATGAGCCAATTCTTGTTGCTATGCTCTTGCCGCATGTGCTGTCAGTGTGTATGCGAACGTTCACCTTTGTTGTTGTTGCTTCCTTGATGAAGTTTGCTATATGTAGTCCTTCTTGTGCTCCTGTGCCAATTGCATAAAGCTCTGATTCTGCTGGTGATAGTGCTACTACTGCTTGTGTTCTGCTTCCAAATTGTACCGCGGATCCCGTCATTGTCACGATGAATCCACTTGTTGATTTTCTTGTGCTTGGGCATCCTGCCCAGTCCGCATCGACATAAATGTTGAGGTCGATGGGTTCCTTTGTCTGTGGTGTATGTGTTGTCCTCAGGATCATTTTGTAGTGTTGTGTTTCCTGAGGTATCGTAGGAGGTGTTTCACCTTGCGTAGGCTTTGTTGTGTTGGTTGTTGTAGGTCTCGTGCCAGTTCTTGTGTTGCAAAGCTGATGTCTGGTCTTGTGTAGGTCAGCCATTGAAGCTTTCCTACTGCTCTCCTGTAATCTGCATGTTCTTGTGCATCTAGAGGTGCATCATCGTTTGTGGATTGTTTCAGGGTTGCCGTCCCTGGAGCTGATGCTGGATTGCTTGCTTCCATTTTTGTTTTGTTCAGCAATGTGGTGATGTATTCTGGTTTGAGGCTCACCTCAAAGAAGTCTCCATTGTTGTGGATGTCTCTGCCAAGGAATTGGATTGTCTGACCAATTCCCAATGTGCCGGTTGGTCGTAGTAGTACATGCTTCTGTACTTCTTTGCATGTCTTGTCGACTTCTTGTTGTTGTTCCAGGAATAGTAGGTCATCCACATAGACCATCACAAACATTGTCTGTTCATTGTTCCTGTACACGTTGGGTTCACTTGTCAGTCGAGACAGTCCAATTTGTTGAAGGACTTGTGCAAAGTGATCCTGCCAGGATTCTGGACTTGATCGTAGTCCATAGATTGCTTTGTTGAGCTTCCACACTGTGGTTGTGTAGTGACCACTTGGGTATAGTTCTGGTGGTGGCCACATGTAAAGATTGTCTGTCGCTGCTGGTGCATGTAGGAATGCTGTTGACACATCTCCTGCTTGTATCGTCCAGTGGTTGTGCTGCGCCATTGTCAATAGGATGCGTAAGATCCCAAAGATTGGCGTGCTCGCATAGATGTTGTCAAGGTCTTGGATTGTTTCCAAGTAGCCTTCGGCTACTATGCGACATCGCACTTCATCTTGTTTGGGTTTGTTGACCCACTTGGATTCTATGATCTTATTCTTGTGTTCTTCTGGGACATCATTGTAGTTCATCTCTGTGAACACACCACTGGCACTACCAGCACGAGCAATGCACCATCAGCCAATGGATATGACAATGGCAACATGCCCTTTGGCAACTTCACCAACAACAATGGCAAGACCACCACTGCCAATACCACCAGCGAGCAAGCGACAACACGAGGAGCCTACAGGTGAAGCACAACCCAAACAATCAAGGACAGCACAGTCCTCAACAGCAGCAAAGCGAGGACAAGATGAAGAACGACCAAAAGCAAAGATGAGAATACAAGCAGTGACAATCACCACAAAGAAAGGTGACAAGATCACCACTGCATCCTGTGAAGATGAACAAGAAGCAGATGTGGAGCTTCGAAGTCTGTCGCGTAGTGCTGTGCCAAGCTGCGGGCCACCAGGCGGCGGAGGAAGTCACCCGCGACGAGGCCACGGACTCCGCCGGAAGCTTTTCGGATAGCGACCATGCGGCCCAGGCCGATGGCTGCTGCTGTTGTTGCTGGGATGTCTGCTGTGGCAAGGCGGTGGCACACTTGTTGGAAAGAGTGGCTTGCTGCGGCGTCGTCCAACAACAATTTGGCAATTTCTGCTGTGAGGCCGCTTGGTCCTGGGGCTGCTCCTTTCTTAGCCCGGGCCAAGTTGGTGAGGAAGAGTTGGGCCGGGATGGCTGTCGGTGTGGCTGGGATCCATTGCAACAGGTCTGTGTCTATGGCTTGGTATGCCTGTTGGGGTCTTGCTGTTGGATCAGTGAGGCGCTGGTGGGTGGCCTCATCTCCGGGCGCCAGGGGTTCGGCCAGCAGCGCCTGGCGTGCGCGGGATAGTTCCCCGAGGCGGGCTAAGTGGATTGCCCGTTGAGCTCTGGCGTCTTCGTTCGGGTTGGTTGGGTGTTGGTTGGTACGCCGTGCTTGGCGTTGCTTTGCGCTGCTGTGCTCGATGAGGGTGTCCCATCTGCCTGTGAAGAACTGTGTGAAGCGGTTGAGCAACTCTGGTTTGGGGACTCGCTGTGTGCCGGCGGGGCGGTGGAGCAGGAGGCGCGGTAAGAAAAGCCAAAGTTTCCACGCACGTTCCCGCATGTCATCCGTGCTGGCCGAATTGATCTGGTCCAGTGCGAAGTGAAGAGCACGCCGAAGTGGCCCCCGTAAGAACGGTGGAGGTTTGCGGAACATGATGCAAGGCTCGGAAAGGAAAGCGGTGGCCGGAAGTGGGTCGAGACGGGCTAAGGCTTCCCGAAGCCGGCGGCCGTGGATCATGGGTTGTGTGGGGTGGTTGTGAGGCTCAGCGGCGGCGACTGTGCGGGGGGCATTCGCGGCCTCAGTGGTTTCGGTGGCTGGATGAGCTACCGCGGGGCCGCCATGTTCAGGGTCACTCGTTGTGGAGCTAGTGGAGGATGTGCGCGCGTCGTCATCAGAACGGGAACTGGGCTGGCTGGGGCTCAGGTCGGGTTCTGGGTTGGCTGCTTGTGCCCCGGTGCCTTCTGGCGGCGTTCGTTCGGGGAGTGTGTGCTGCAATGCCGGGCCTGCAGGTCGCGCATCTGCGGGCACCGCTGGTGTTGGTAAGTGGGGGGCCCGTGGTCGGTCAGTAGCTGTGTTCGCTGTGGGTGTTTGCCATTGTTCGGCGAGGGTGGCTGCAGCCGAAGCCTGCCGTTCTCCGAGGAATGCTTGCAAGAGTGCTTCTTGCGCCGTCGCCGGGATGTATCCTCCTGGTTGTTGGAACAAAGTCACGGCCCATGGCAAGTGGATGAGTGCCCCTAGTGGTTGCTGTTCCCCAGCTGACCTGAGTGTATCGGGAAGGGTGCGTTCCCCGGGTGGCAGGATTTGTCCCGTGTCCTGGGCCACCTGCTGGAGAACCGTGAGGATGTGGTGCAGGTGTTGCCAAGGTATGGGCTGTGCGCGCTCTAGTTGTTCAACGAGCCGGTGCCACTGCGCGCCTGTATTCGGGTAGGAAAGCCATTGTTGCGCAGTGTCTGGATGCAGCCGGCGTGTTGCTGCGACCGGCGTGTTGCTGCGAGCAGGAGCGGCGCGTAGAACCAACTGTGTGTTGGTGGTGGGTTGGTGTGAGGTGCCAGGGGCCCACGGTGTGCCCACAAGTTGTTGGTGGTCGTTGGTGCTTGTTGGGGAGGCTGTGCTTGGCCATGTGGTGCGGGTGGCTCTGGCAGGGCTGCGCCCGGGGCCAAACATAACAGTCGGCTTGATTGTATGTCCGTTCGTCCACTCTTCTCTCAAGAGGTCTGACTGGTCACAGTCGTCCAAAACATACTCAAAGTACAAGAAAGCATCTCCAAACACTCTCAAGCAAAGCTGGGCTATACACAGCTCATCCAAAGCACTACAGCTCTATACTTAGGG